TTTATTTTAATAATTTATTTTAATTTATTTATTTATTTTAATAATTTATTATAATAAAAATAAATATGCCACTCGATGGCATCTCAATAGCGTGTCAGTGGTATAACAGTGGCTTGGCGTGAACATAAAATAGCAGAATTGAGGCCCAGCTTCTGTTACAGTAGTAAAAACTAATTTTAATTTATCGCCACAATACATCTAGGCAAAGTCCGTATTTGACTGATCAACTAGGGTAAGGTACACACACGACACATGAGACTCGGTGACAATTTGGCGCATCGGTCTGTGTTCACCTGTCCCGATGTACTCGTAGCACAAAGCACCTATTGAAAACTAACCGTACAGATAGCTGCGGCGATAACAGAGGTATGCCGCACTGTCTTGTGTGGTCGGATCCACACGAGCTACTGTTGCATGAAACAAAGAAACGCTTATTGATGCGGTGAGATACGACAAACAACAAATAAAATACTTTAGACAACATTTGGCAATGATGCAATCGACTACAGCGTTCGATTATTGGTTTGATAAAGACGAGGACAGTGTAAGGAGCCGACCGCGATTCCTGAGTGAACTGATAACGTGAGTCATGTGTGTCGCGGGTCACGGGTCACGACGGTTCACTCCGTCCATTACGCACAACGAGCCACTGTCTCCAAGGACATTCTCGCTTATTACTGATGCGCTCACATCGATAAAATTCTACTGATTTGACCAAAGATTTCTTTGTTCGTTCGTTATTATTACCTTTAAGAATTTACTGAATGAGCTGCAGTGTGGGTGAGCTTGGAATGAAGAGCATTTGTGTTGTTGTAGGTCGGGGGTTATCTGTCCTAAGTTATCGTTAGCTTTTACTTAACAAATATTTCATTTGTTAACTCTGTATCGGAGGGTAACTGAGTAAACACTGAATAAAATTTTTTTTTTCATCGCACGTATCTCAAAATCTATCTAACTATTTTATTTGATGTATTGTGTATTTCAACAGCTTTCAGAATATTACTAACTTATTGACATCCAATAATGAAGAGCTGAGTAAATAATGTTTTTTTAAAAGATCGTAATTGACCCACTGTGTACACAGGGTGGTGAACAACGGATCAGCCCTGGTTAACAGTGGGTCTATATGCTTTTATAGGTAATTAAAGACATTTAACTATGAAGTCATGCATTTCAAGAAGCAATAAAATATTAACAAATTATGCTGTATGAGTCATGAGTAGGTATCATAAAATTTGAAACTTAACGAAAATAAATCAATGACAATTTGTTTACAGTCATCATCAACAGCCTTTAATAGTCCACTGCTGGACATAGGCCTCTCCTTAGAAAGGAGGCTTTGGCCTACTATACCACGCTGGCCAGACGGGTTCTTATAGGGTTTGCTTCAAGTTTTCCTTCTCTTTGCAGTGCTATTGTCCTGCGTAGTTTTAGTATCATCAACTAAATCTACATACGAAATGAAGTACCACTTCCTTAAGGCACCTCACTTATCAAAAAAATAACATGTAGTCTTATTTTTTTTAAAACCATTATTTAGAAATAAAAGTCGGTATTATGCCATATTATCTTTAAAAAAACAAACAAAAAAAAAGATTTTAACACACTAATATCTTTTTAAGGCACAGTTCTAACGAATAGCTGACTTAAGTTTTATTCGTAATGGCTCCTAATTCTGACAATTTGGAACAGGAGATCAGTTGCTAATCAGATGCGCATTTTCATCTTCAGAGACAAATGTCAGTCTTGGTTTATTTTTACTCTGACATCTTGTTTACGATTAAGATAACTCCTTTCATAAATTTTTGCTAGTTCCTGTTTATTAGTTAAGTATTACCATTATGTCTAGAAAAACAATGCGAGTTGCAATGTGGTTACTCAACTGTGTACACTGTTAATCAGACCCACCCTTGACCATAGGCCTAATTTAAAATATAAACTAGAAATAACCTGTTAAAACAAACAGCTCGTCAACTATTTATGTGTTATATTACAGGATACTAACGAAGTCAAATTGTGGTTATACAATTTAATCGATATTTATTGTAAGTTAGAAAATAAAAACAAAGTATCAACTCACATTTCAAAATATTTTAATACCGTCACAACAAAATCGGGCGCCCTACGTCGTCCAATCAGCATGGCCACGCGGGACCTAGCAGAGAGGAGCTGCTACTAGTTATTCTTCTCGTCGACCCCAGCTAGGCTATTCTTCTCGTAGACCCCAGCTAGGCTCTCGGGGAGACTTCTACAGGTCTACGGTCTGTCTAAGTGGTGTTCCAACCAACCTAGTCTGCCACTTCAGGCGCGTCAATGGGTTAGGCCCAGATGGGCCTGCTTGGTAGTTTCAGGGTGTCAGTCCAGTGGGAGGGGGAACCCCCAGTCAGTAAAGTAACCATAATTATTTGTACTAAGTACAGGTCTGTTATAGAAGAAGCGGTCTTGTGCTTCTGGCGATGTCCTGAACGCACTCTTGACTCTTTCACATTCATTAAGATTTTCCTTTATTTAAAAAAACAGTAACAGTCAATTAGTCTACACTATGGCATGAGAAGTTTCTGTACACCTACCTTATAAGATTTCCGACGCCACGCAAGTTCACTTGCAAAGCATGCTTCAGGCAAGTGCACAAAGTTAAACAAATAAATAAAAAGCACACGTCAATGGCATCTCGTGACTATTGTCGTAATACGATGGAAACATTCAAGTTGCTATCTTAAACTGTTACGATTAACTATTCATCTTTAAAACATGTTTTTTAGTTTAATTAAACTGTGTTATAAGACCTACATATTATATGCATAATATGTACAAAAATTAATTATATTGATATAATACAATTATTCAGATTATATATACTCGTACATATATATATAATCTGAATCTCGGAAACGGCTCTAACGAGTTTAATGAAATTAAGTATGCAAGGGCACGGTACTATTATAATACAGTAGTGTAACTCGGCCGCATGATAGAAATAAATGCCTACAGCCGCGCGGTACGTAAACATGCGTTAGGGCTGCCCGTCTCCAGCATTTTAATTATATTTGCCTACTTTCTGTTTCTATTTAAATTTGTGATTGTAAATATCCTTTTTATATAAATAAATGAAATACTTTGTATATTGAATAGGAAGTGTTCAATAAAAATGCGTGTTGTTTTTTGATTGGTGGATTTAATTATTTTCTTTTCTTTCTGCATTGGAGGAGTTCAATTTTCAATTTTCTTTTTCTTGGAGTGTTGCTAGAGAGACTCGTTGAGGTTTGAGCAAAGATTTCATTTACAGTCTGTGTACTATTTTCATTTCTTACCAACGGAGCAGTTTGGGTTTGTTTATCTTCTTTTAGAGATACTCCTGAATCAGTACTAGCTAAGCTTGGCAGCATCAACAACGGTAGGGCATTCTTTTTTAAAAGTTTTCTATTTGATGAATGTAATACATCCTCCAAATTAAAATGTTTTTCACAAACTTGGTAGGAACTAAAGTTAGGTTTGTTTTCCAAATCATCTCGCCGGATGAGTTGCAACCATTGAATACGTCTGAAAAAAAAAAATACAAGTCACACTCTCGGAGACTGGCGCGGTAAAGCTATTGCATAACATTTTTTTTTTAAAGAAAAAAATCTGCGTGGTGTCAGGTATTTTTCGTTAGGTTTTGAGAATTTTTTGATTCGGTCACCGTGCAGCGCCGCGCTCAGAGCCCGCGATAAAAGCTATGCAATAGCTTAAAAATCCTTCTATAGAATAAAAAAAAATGTGCTTTCTCCTTACGCGTTACAAAACTCCAATCCTTAGAAACTCCAACACCTACCTACTCAACTAGAATGCAAGAAACAGCTGACGAGTAAGTAACTTTTTATCTCAGCTTATTAACGTCTCTATAAATTAGGTACCTACCTACAACTCAAAACAAAAATTCTTTGGTCACCAATTAATTAATTATTAAAAAGCTGAACAGCTGACTACGAATGTTTTAAAATCACAACCCTCAAACATCTAAATATTATATATGAGTCTAGCTGTTGTTGTTAATAATGAGAAAATGAAACCAGTGGTATATGTTGTTATAGTAGCAGCAGAAACACTTTGTGAAAATTTCGAAAACTATCTAATGACACACAGACGGTAAAAAATTTTTTCTAGTATTATTCATACACACAGATAATAAACAAATATTATTAAAAATAAAATACCACGTCTTTACTTTGAATTATGCAAATTAACAAAACACACATGCACCGAAGTTTTAACACAAGCGTAAGTAGGTAGGTACGTACCGTATCATGATTCATTCAGAACCGCATATAACTACCTATTTCACTCGTCTCAATAACTTTCCGTTACTCTATTCGCTTTATTTATGAATCCAAACACCTTTTTTTTCGTAAGATAAAAGGAAATACTTATCCATTAAAAAGACACACATTATGTACCTTCCTACTAGTAGGTAAAATTATTTTATAGTCTTACCTTTCAGAGTTTCCAGGTAATTTAAAAAAACTTATGTCTGGATGCGTTATTGACGAATTCATACAACCAAAAGCAGCACAATATTTCCTACTCGTCATATTAACTGATTTTTAGAGAAAAAATCGCGCGGTTATTGTTAAAAAAAACAACACACCGTCCGTTCGACACTGTGGTACAGCCGTGACTGTCTGCGCCCCGAGCGCACCCCGAGATCGAGGCGCGTAGGTATAGCTCGTGTTTCGTCCGTTTGTATGAAGTTGGAGTACTGTATTATAATTGTACCGTGGCAAGGGTTTTCGGGGGCGATTAATCGATCTGGCTAGGTTTCATTTTTAGAAAATTTACCAAAATAAAATAGGCTACACCGCATTTATTTTTTAAACGTACTTGTACCTTTTTCCAATATATCCGATATTAACACAAAACATACCTTTTTTAAAGCTTTCATATTAGGCTGTTTTAGTATCTTGTATTATGATTAGTTTCGCGGCAAGTTCGCAGAAATAACAGAGTGTGTATGGTCGCTACAGATGTACAGCGGTGCGCTGTTGGCGACGGCGGCGCGCTTGGCGTGGGACCCCAGCACCTACACGTGGTTCCGGTTCCTGTGCGAGGCGCAGTACCGCGTGTCGGCCGCATACGTGCTCGCCGCCGGCCTGTGGCTCGCCGCTCTCGTCTACCTCGCCGCCGCCGCCGCGCACCGTTCCGCCAGGAACTGCTTACACATCGTGAGTACAATACTTCCACTCCTGACTGTCCCTTTCGTACATTACACAATCCTTTTTGTATCTTTCTACCGCAACTCATGTTTTGAAGGCCTCATCACAAACTTAAAAGTCATGAAAATTGTCTTATCGGATCATTTTTGAGTAAACCAAAATGCATGAAGTATTGCAGTGCGTAATGTTCGCGTGACTACAACGAACGTGCCTTTTCTTCAGTAGGTATAACATTCATTACTGACTGCTGCCGTGGATAATACCAGTAAGTATACAGACTGCCTGTTTGTATTTAATTACATTAGTCTATAGTAACTCTTGCAACATCACCGCGTGTAGGTACCACTGATGCAAGTAAAAAGCTTTTTGAGGAATCTTTCGAATCTGACGTAACCACCTCTCAGGCCGTCTGGTGCCCCAACCTTTTTTCAGTGCGGAAGTATCTGAAGGGAAAAAAGGGCCAAAATTCCTTAAAAATTGCGACGCGTTTAATATTTACATATTTATTTTAACCTATTAAGCAATAGTAGGCTAAAACCTCCTTTCTAAGCAGAGGCCTGCGTCACGCAGTGGACTATTAAAGGCCGTTGATGATGATGAAACAATAGGTAGAAAACATCAAAGCTTTTCTTATGGGTTTATGTTTATCACACGGAAGTGTAAGATCTTCGACAATTGTCAAAGCCCTCGTGGTATCCGGAGTATAATGGTGGCGTATCATCCTCCTCCGTCACCGGTCACGCGTATAGTACCTAAACTCACTAATGGACAAAAAGTTATAGGTACATATAGCTATCAATACCTACGTCAGACGTGTTTTTTTGCGAACTATTAGTTCTACGTCAAGTACAACGATCGCTGGCAACTACCAAAAAGTTTATTTACCTCGTCTACGAAGCATGGCCAAGTGACAGTCTCAATCAAACCGGACTTTGAAAGAGGTTAACTCTTCTGAGAGATGCGACTTGTTTTGTCATATTATGATGACTACATTATGACAAAGACACGCATGGGGGAGATGACTCCCTAAGACTTTGTATGAACGCCCAAATCCCAGAATCACACATTTTTACACCAGAAGTCATAGGTATCAGTATACTATATGAGTAGAAGGTTATATGTATAAATGTAGCTTAGTTCAAGCACGGCATCTCATTGTTATATAAATTGTAGGTCTATGTGTTAGATTAGTAACTTGGTTTTATTTGCATAATGTACAGGGTTACTGGATAAGTCGTTTTTTTTTACTGTTTTTGTGTCATTGATATATTATTTTATAATTTCCAATACCAACATTTTAGTTAAATTAACAAACAGGGTCGTGTTTTTTTCTTTTGTAAATATTTAAGTAAAATCTATGACAGTTAAGTTGCAGACGTGTTAAAAACATGTAAATACGTATTGTTGCGCCATAGGATTAAATGGTTCAATTGTTTCAGAATTGTATGGAATGTGGAGGACAGCGCCATCTAGTATCACGTAAAGTACAACTATTGAGATTAATAATTCTGATACTTACAGCGCTAGGTAGCGCTGCAAATAACGCGTGACTGATACTGGAATATTCTTATTTGTCTGGAACGATAAAAGCGGCGCGTGTTGGCCGTACGAGTATCGTTTTACGACAAATCGAGTTAACATCGAAGTGATTTAACGCGTTATATAGTGATTTCTTGTTTGTTATAGTGAGTGTTTGTAATTACAGTGCAATAAAAGTAATTAACCGACAACTTTTATTTATTACATTAAGTATACCGCTCGTAACAGTATTGTCAGCTATTTAACAAGGCATAATAGTCTAGGATAGTATCAGAATTCATAGAAAAACTTAGATGAATGTCTTACGAATTAGCGCATAACCCGGTAGTACCCAGTAAAACCTTTGCTTGTATTTTTGGACTTCTAGATTATTAAATTTATTATTATATACCGAAATATATTTTTTTTAAATTCATAACAAATTGTTTTTTTTTGCTGTAATCAACAATCTACTTCGGCCCAGTTTGTTAACTACAATTTTGGTAATGGAAATCATACAAAATATTTCAAATATACATAAATTGTAAAATAAGAACAAAGAGGGGTGTGTGATGTTATATTATATTATGATAATAACGTCTGTTTCCAGTATTGCGTGGGCGTGTTGTGCTTGGCGCTAAGCGAAATCGGTTACGGCGCATGGATGGGGGCCTCGCTCGCGGCGTGGTGGCGCGAGGCGCCGCAGGCGGAGCTGGCGCGGCACGGGATGGACCTACTGCACGATCTGAAGCCTGCTCTGCTCGCTGTGGAACGATACAGGGATGTCGCCAGACCGCTCTATGACATGATTGAGGTAACATCCTGTCAAATGGGACCACATTATATTCGAATATTTACTGTAATTTGTAAATCAAACACATCCTAGAACTATAGAAACCGCCGTAAGCTTGGCCCTCCTGATGGTTTGCGGGACGCGGGGCATGACACGATGTACTAACTCGATATCTTCAGATTTATTTGTTTGAGATTTAATCTACACACGATGTAATAAAAATCGAATTTATTTCCATGTATTATAATGTCAGTGTATTGTAAGTTTTTATGATTAATTGTAAAATTTAATACTGTAAAATAATTTTAATAAAATCGCCTTATCTTCATCATGTAAATTATATTCAGATACAATTTAAAAATTAAGTAAACTAATAAATATTCTTTATTAGAACTTTAACAGTAGAACCTCTGTAAGCCGAACTTCAAGTTTTTAAATCTTTTTGTGACGCAGAGTCGGCAGATTATCCATATTGCAAAATAATACCGTGTGTAGCAGTCTTAAGAAAAATAACACGTACAGAAATGCTTTCACGTCAGTCACTGCTGGCGGACAGCGACGCACTAGTCGGCACTAGCTAATTGGTTGAATGAACCCCCGCCCCGCGTCCCCCAAACCATCAGGAGGGCCAAGCTTACGGCGGTTTAACTATAGGCTGCTTAGTCGTAGATGCTCTTTGTAGACACTAATGTAAAAATAAGTTCGAGTCCATGAAGAGTACCTGCCAAAGATATTGAGAGTTGCCTTTCGTGGACTAGGCCAGGTGCCATTCGCTTGGGTGTTCTAGCCGCACTACCTCGAAAAAAGTTGTCAGTATCAAAATATTCAAAATTGTGGAAGGGTTACACCGAACGGACTTCATCATCACATCACATCAACAGCCTACAATAGTCCACTGCTGGACATAGGCCTCTCCTTAGAAAGGAGCTTTTGGCCTACTATACCACGCTGGCCAGACTGGTTGGTATAGGGTTTGTTTCAAGTTTTCCTTCTCTTTGCAGTGCGGTTGACCTGCGTAGTTTGCTCCCTTAGTCGGCTCTAACGACACCTACCATCATCATCACCATCTCCATCACCACACGACTTACCCGGCCGACCCGAAAAAACCGACTTACTCGAAGAAAAAAGAAGTCGGCCATTTAGCAAAATAGGGGCACTCCTTTCAATGGTTACAGTTTAGTGAGTCGTAGATTGTTGTTCTTTCAGGGTGGACTTTTGCCCATAATATATACTTCTCTAGGTCGGTCTCGAGTTGTAAAAAATAAAATAAAAAAATATGTACGTATGTGTATGTGAAGGTCTCACTAAAACATTATGAATTTAATGTTTCAGGAGGTGGAGCGCGAAGCTCCCAACAACGTGTTCGTTATCATCGTGTTCGGCGTGGTCGGCATGGTGCTGCAGGTACGCTATACACTCCTCTGTCGTCTAGGGACAATCGATCGGGACAATTTTCTGATTTGGACATTAGGTATAAAATTATACATGTGCCGATTAGGTTATCACAAATAACAGAAAGTGGACTGCGATAGGCTGATGATAATTAAATACAATAAAATACTTTTGAATTAGAATACCATTGTTTACATGAGTCGCTCAACTGCATACGGCACCGTCGCAATCGTCGTCGGTAATGTCGTCGCGTCGTCGGCGAGATCAAACACGAGCTTAGCGAGCGACGAGTTAGGAATAAAGAGAACAGAATGAGTTCTGTTCTCTTTAAAGCCCATCCAGACTCTCGCGAGGCCTCTCGCCCCGCCAATCGCCTCGCCTCGCGCTCGATTCTCGGCGAGTGAAATGTAGTCATCCACACTCTCGGTTTTATTCAGTCGCCCGCTACGTCTACTTCAATATGGACGTGATTCAAGTGACTGCGTTAGCTACTTTATGTGCCTACCAATATTATAATGTCTTACGATTATATCACCTAACCAAAAAAAGGAACTCAAAACGGAGAAGATGGTGGATGACGTCTATACACCGCAACAGGACGATGTAAGTATTTGTATTTGATGATTTTTTATGAATTTATTATTGTATGCCTAATTTATTCCTAAGTAATCGGCAATCCAAACGGATGAAAATTCATCCTTAAATCCTCAATATGTTATTTTAGACTAAAACAAAAAAAAGTACATATGTATGTCCTAAAGCATTTGGATGCTTAAGAGTACAATATGCACCACGTTTTTATTTTATTTTAAAATATTACTTTCTTTTGCAGACAAACTATGGACAAACAAATTACAGAACTACTTTCTGAATCATCTGGTGAATTTGAAAATTTTGTGCGCATGTCTTTCTTCGATTTTGAATACTTATTGAACAAAGTTGCTCCTATTATCGCCAAGCAAGATACTCAACTAAGGCACGCTATACCACCAAAAGTACGACTTGCCATTGCATTAAGGTTTTTGGCTACTGGCGACAGCTACAAAAGTCTACATTTTTTATTTAAAGTTTCAAGTCAGCTGATTTCAATAATTATACCAGAAGTTTGTACTGCAATCAACGAAGCATTAAAAGACCAAGTAAAGGTAAATTGTTTTATTACAATTAAAATAATTTTTAGAAAAGTAATCAATCAATCAATACAAAACAAAACCATCATTCCAGGCTGTTATTAAAATTTTCGAGATAATCTCTGGCCGGTGTAACTATTATTTGATCGGACAAAATTTTTACTGATTGTGTGTTGTCGACTGGGTTATAATTCAGATCTGGAATGTGTAAAACAGGCGGATTCGTAGTTTCTAGCGGCATAGTATGAGGAATGTATTGAAGAACTGGTGGATATGTAACTGGAGCCTTCATATTATAATTTTTTACCATTTTATTCGGTACAGCAGGTTCTGAATATGATGTGCAACAAGATTCGCGTCGTTTTGGTATTCTAATGTTATGTATAGGTTCTGAGTAAGACGATTGAGAAGAAGTAGGTCGTTGTGAGATGTTTTCAGAGGTATAAAAATTAGGTGATGGGCTACTATTCCTGCGTAAACGGTTTCTGAACATGCCGTCTATTTCGTACATGAAAATAGCACGTTCATTTTCGGGTAGCCTCCGTAATTTTTTGGCAAGTAACTTGCAGTACAAGTCGCACTCGTCTTCTTCAGTTCTTTGGCCTTTTAGAACACTATTTAGAGTGTTGAATGTATCCTTCATTTGTTTACTAGTTTCATTGATTAAATATTCAGAACCTTTTGCTCGTCGACGCGGGTGCTGTGGTGGTAATGACTCTTGGCTAGTTGAAGCAATTGAAAATTGCGGCATGGGAGATTCTTCATGTGTACTTGATTCTTCTTCAATTTCAACAGCTTGTGAATTGTTCTCCTGAAATGCAAATAGAAGATAAATAACTAGCTGTTACCCTCGACTTCGCCCGCGTAGGATTTATTATTAAAATATTGAATATTTTTTTAATATTTTTTGTTTGTTTCAGATCCCGTCTAGTGCCCAGGAGTGGCTAGATATAGAAAAAGGATTTAGAACAAAATTTACTCACTGCGTTGGAGCAATTGACGGCAAACACATAGTTTTACAATGCCCTGTTGGATCTGCATCTGAATATTATAACTACAAAAATACATACAGTATTGTTCTCTTGGCATTAGTTGACAGTAATTATCGTTTTGTTTTCGCTGACATTGGAAGCCAGGGACGAATCAGCGATGGCGGAGTGTTTAGGAATTCTTTATTGTGGCAAAAAGTTTGCTCAAATAATCTTAAATTGCCATCACCGTCTCCCCTTCCAGGTTCAGATAAAAATGTGCCTTATGTATTTATAGCAGATGGCGCATTTGCTCTAGACACTCATATAATGAAACCATACCCAGGCAATCACACTAGTGACTCACAAAAACGAATTTTTAACCAACGATTATCAAGCGCACGTGTAGTAGTAGAGAATGTTTTTGGCATACTGTCGTCGTAATTTAGAATTTTCAGAAAACCTATATTATTAGATCCTAACAAAGCATCAGTAGTAACAATGACATGCATTTTACTGCACAACTTCCTTAGAAGGAGTGAAACATCTAGTACATTATACACTCCTGCACGTGCACTGGATATTTTTGATGATAATGGGATTTTGGTCCAACCTGGTTCTTGGAGAAATGACGTTCAGAATGACGGTGCCCTGCAGCGTCTGGATCAAATACCACGCAGAGCAACATTAAATGCAACTCAGATAAGAGAAGAGTTTACTTCATATTTCTGTACAAACTCGTATATCAAATAGACTTATATATTTCGCCAAAATAAACTAAATTCCTACTTAATTTACCAAAAAATGTGTTTTATTTCACTTCACTTACATGTCTCTCCGTGTTTATTGTAGGTAAACATTCATTGATGCCACCCAAATAGCTTTCCATTAGTTCGTATAAAAACCATATGGGTTTATAAATATCATTTATACCGGCACCAGATTTAATCGAAGCTTTTTTCCTTCTCAAGTGCCCTCTAAAAGTCGCCATTAATGATTTTTTTTTGTTTTTTAACTCCTGTACACCTAAAATATAAAATTATTTATGAATTTATTGCATTACACACGAAGTAAAAAAATTTAAACAACAAAATACCCTACTTCAAGAACCACCAGCTTTTAAAATAAAAAAGAATCATCAAAATCGGTTCACACTCGATATTTCTGAGGTAACAAACAAAAAAAAACAGTCAACAACAATTGAAAACCTCATCTATTGTGAAGTCGATTAAAAAATACAGTAGGTACAAACCTATATGTAATTCTTTACTTATCCGATCCCAGGCGTCATTTACTTTATTTTTATCTTTGTGTTGGGAGTTTTTTGGATTCCAAATTATTGGTTCCATTTGGTATAATTCCATAAAAGTGGTGCACATTTCATTACTCCACTCCGCCATGATAAAAAATCGCACGCGTCCTTATTTCGCTGCGGTCAACAACAAAGTAAGCGAGCGCGAGAGTGTGGTTAATCGCCTCGCCTCGCCCCTCGCGTCCTTTGACTCGCGCCCAAAAAACCGACACGAAGCGGAGCGACAGCGAGGCGAGGCGAGGGAAGACGAGGGAGCACGAGCGCACCGTCCACACTCTCGCACTCGCGTTGCCTCGTATAGCCTCGTCGAGAGTGTGGATGGGCTATTATAATTTATAAATGTTGAGACATTGAATCCCGTGGTAATATGGCAGATAATCCACTCCAATTCACTTTAAGGTCTGGAGGTTACCTACGTAATGCCCGTAAACGAAATACTTAATAAAGGTTACAAAGAAACAGCTAAAATATATGTCGACGCTATCAAATGTGTACCTAAAAGGCGCGACGCGCATGTGACTCCTTGGCCTGGGTTGCAGGACTTCATGGGCGCCGGTAGTCACTTTCCATCAGGTGAGCCGTCTGCGCGTTTTCCCCCTATATTATAAAAGACTTTTCTTCGTTTTTGACTGTCGATCTTGGATCGATCGTTGTGTTTTTAGACACATAAAAAACTTACGTAAATAATTTATAATTTGAATCGTGCGATATGGAGCAGAGAAATCGTCACTATCGGGTCTCCTAAACTTCTTCGTAAAGTTTTGTTCGCTCGGGTTGTAGGTGGCCGCATTCGTAATGGCGCGACGGCTGGCGTCGCGCGAGGGCATCGAGTTCGGCGCGGAGGCGGCGCGGCCGCGCTCGGCGCGCAAGGAGCGCGACGCCTGCGCCGTCGCCACCGCCGACGACGACAGCGACGGCGCCGACCACGACCCGCCGCCCGGCTGGCGCAAGAAGGCCAACCTGCGAATGTACACGATTCTCGACAAGATTTTCTAGCAGGTCGGTGTCCGCTACCGCTGTACTTACGATTTATCGGCGGCGTCTCACAATAAAGTAGATTCTGAGCTAATCGAATACTATTTTCCAGGACGAGACGGGCGGTGTCGGGATACCGGAGTCGCCCGGGGTGACTCGCGGCTCGCCGCGCGGTCGCTCGTCTAGACGTAGAGACGGGGCTCGCGGCTCCCCGCGCTCGGAGGCGTGGGACGCGGTGCAGGCGCAGCTGCGGGCCCGCGCCGCCGCCGCGCCCTCCGCGCCCCCCGCCGCGCTGCTCATCCTGCGAACGGACATTTAGTGGCCGCGCGACGCTCCCCCGCGGCCGTCGCGTCGGGCCGCTCAGAGAATATCGGCGCCGCCGGGATTCGCGCCTCGCCTCGCGCGGGACGAATCAGGAGCGGCGTGATTATATAGCGAGACGCGGGAGCCCGGGCGTCGCTCGTATCGGTCTATCCATATCTATTATGTTTTTAAGATTGTTTTTTATTACTAAAGTTGTAAACGAACACAGACTGCCATATTAAGTAGTAGTTAAAGTAATCCTAGGTCACGCGCCGCTCGGTGTGTTCCTACTTAGTGTTTAGTGTCAGGTCGTGTGTCTGACGGACTTTAAATTTTGATACGGACGTTACAGTAGTATTTCGATTCGAGTACTGACTTCTTGCCTTTTAACTGACGTATCGAGAGACGCGGTGCTATTTGTCGCGAAAATTTAGCCACTTATATTAACGAACGTAGCGTTCGACTGATTTACGACTGGTCGACGATTATTTCGTCCTATGTGTTCACTTTTGTTTAACTCTTAAATATCGAGATCGTCCCTCTGGGGCTGCGGTCCCTCCGCCGTCGCCCTCGGACAGTGTGAGGCGCCGCACTAGAGCTCGTTGTAATTGTAAAGCCGATGTGAGGTGATAGGTACTGAGTTGCTGTGATTTTTGTTAAACTACAGAAGCGAAGCGAATTATTGTTATACCGTGTTTGTATATCTACTTGTATGTTACGTAGAGTTTGCGCCGGTTCTGTGCGCAGGCGCCGGTACGATCGGTAGTATTTCTGGTGCCAAATAGTGATAAGTTTATATATCTAGAGTTATAGAATCTTTAGTGGTGCGATCGCCCCACGAACCGTAGACAATATCAGTGTTGTTAGGCAGCGGCGTTGTACCGCCGGTGGTCGTCGGTAATGGTCGGTCACAATCGGTCACGGTCGGTCACAGACGGTCACCGGCGGTCACTCGCCGCCCTCGACAGACAAAAATA